TAAAAAAAAAAAAAAAAAAAAAAAAAAAAAAAAAAACCAAACAAAATATTTTAATGAAAATGAGAAGGGCTGGGAATGTTGGTCAGTGTGAAGCCTTGGGTTCAACCCCAGTACTACCCCCAGGATGCCCAAAGCCGTGCACACAAGACTAGGACGTAATGCAAGTCCAGGTACTGTGCTCTCCAGCACAAGTCCTGCACTCCTGGCTCCCAGTGGAGCCATGGGTCCTCAGAGCCTGGGGTGGCCCCAGGACCACGGTCCCAACAGGAGGGGCGTGGGACTGAGCTCACTGGTGCCAAGAAAGCTCCAAATGTTTTCTGCAATTGTGTGGCCGCCCTGACATTGCACCTGTTCTCTGAACCTGATGTGAAAGCTCACTCAGGGCTCTGAAGTACAAACCCTTGAATGTGGATGGCACACCCTCCATCTGTGTCTCTAGTGCGAGAAGAGAAGAGGCCTTCTCAGTGCGCGTTTTCCTTGCAGGCGGGAACTGGCACAGACGGTGGGTGTGACGCTGCCTGCGGACCCTGCGGCCACCTCCCCACTGCTGTTTGCTGACTGGCTGAAGATACCCAGAGTAGAGCAGTGCACACCTCATGCAACGGGGCAGGAGCTCGCATGGCCTCTGCCTACACAGAGCCCCTGACCTAGCATCCCAGCAAGCAGGTGTTCTGGCCCTAGAAACGTCCAACAGCCAGGCTGATGTCCCTGGAAGCAGCCGATGCTTTGCTTTCCAGGGGTACACAGCTCTGGACGCATGTCAGCCATGGGTCTGGGTGCAGCCCGCACCTATCTTTTCCACCGGGGTGCTGAGGGGCAGGAAGCCCTGGCGCAGCAGCTGGCCCCGCAGCTCCTCGTCCTCCGCCTGAATCTCGGAGACCATGTTGCAGGGGATGAGGCCAAGCCGGGCGCAGGTCTCCCCGCGGTAGAAGCCATCGGCATCCTTGTCACCGTACACCTGCGGGGGATGTGGCTGTCACCCGCCTTCCTGCACACAGGGCGGCTCCCCCGTCCAGCTTCGGCTGGGCCCTGTCTCAGTCCACAGACCAAGGGCTTCTGGGGCTGGCCCTTTCCCTCCTCTCCCCGCTGCAAGCGCCAGGGGCCTCCCCAGCTCTTCCTCCTACTCCTTCCCTCCCCCTC